ATTGTAACAAATTAATTATTATAACAATGCAATAAAAAATATTTAATACATAAAATCTTGGCGCGGCTGCACCAAAAACTATATCGAACTAAAACTTGTTTAATACATGACAGCATTTTTATTATAATATATTCTATAATGAAGGTTTATAATTTATTTATTATAATACTATATAAACTTAAATAGAACATTATGCCGTATATGTATAAAGAGAATTTACAAGAACATTTTATTATAATAAAAATGCTGTCATGTATGTATTAATCAAGTTTTAGTTCGATATAGTTTTTCAAAGTCAAATTAGATATCATTGACATTTCGTCAATTATAATAAGAATAACATCTTTGAATAAAAAAATATCAAAATATGTAGAATATATACACATTCGATATGTATATTCTATAGTGAAGGTTTATAATTTATTATAACACTATATAAACATAAATAAAACATTACACCCTATATGTATAGAGAGAATTTACAAGTACATTTTATTATAATAAAAATGCTGTCATATATGTATTAAACAAGTTTTAGTTCGATAGTTTTTGGTGCAGCCGCGCCAAGATTTTTTGTATTAAATATTTTTTATCGCATTGTTATAATAATTAATTTGTTATAATAACAAGTAAAATAACCATATGACTTAGTGTTCTAATAAAGAATGATAAATTTTACTTGTAAGCTAGGTTTTCTTGAATATTTTGAATAACATAACCTTTAAAAAGATATCTTTTTGAATATTAGACACTATTAACAAACGTGTTAAATTTTTATAACACGATATAATTTTTACTTTTAAAAATTTATGTACATATATTACATAATATATATCTTAAAAAAGAAGATAATTTGAATTTGAGATTTCTAAAAATATTAAGTTAAATATACAATAATTATATATGATATATATGTTAGGTTTCTCAGTTGGCGCTACTATTCTAATATATCACTTCTTTTGTACAGTAGAATAGTGTTGCAGAGTTTTATTATAGTTATAAGTTTTATTTGTAAAAACTTATGTACACATACAGGGTGTCCCATTTTAATCCGGCCGGCTGAATAAAATTCGAGGATGATATTTTCCAGAAAAAAATGTCAGACAAATGTTACTCAGTTTTAAGGGGGACATTCGATGCCATCAACAATTTTGACCTTGGGTGAAGGGTTCAAGGTCATTCAAGGTCAACTTTTTTTTCTTAAATGAGAACTCCTATTTTTCACATCGGCAATCGATTCTACATAAAAAAAAATGAAACTTTCGCCTGAAGCATTTTTTTTTATAACGCAAACTAATTTCACTTATTCAGCCTCCAAAATTGAAATTTTCAAACTTTCTGAATTTTTTACTCTAGAATGGTGGGGTTTGGGGGGAAATTGCAGAAGACAAGAAGTTCTTGGAATGCTGCAAGGAATTCACTCGAATTTTCGCATAGTTGATCGTGCACTTTTTTCCGGCAATGTTCTACCTGTCAGGAGGTACCTCGAAAGTCAGTTTTTGGCACAGAGCGCTGTGACTGCCGGAAATAAATATAATCTGTCTGAGTGTGGTGGTATCCACACAATTCTCGGGGAGAACTAAAGTGTTCCGGGACGATATTGCTGTTAAACTAATTTTTTTCTATTTTCCCACATGCCAGAGAGTGAGAAAGTATTGTCAGTTTTTGGCACAGAGCACTGTGAGTGCCGGAAATAATTATAACCTGTATGAATGATTATATGTACGTAATTTTCGGGAATTACAACTTTCTTATAATGTCATGTCATATTTAACACAAATTTATCTTTTATATGCATTTACATTTATTTTTAAGTGGTTTTTTGTTAAATAAAAGCTATTTTCAATTTTCGCTCCAAGAACGCTCCAAACTTCAACGACGTGAATTTACAGCAAATTTTTTTCAGCTGTTCAAGAACAAGCTATTATTAATATTATTATTATTTCTTTTATTATTCAACGGACATTTTTTAAATCAAAGTCGAATTCAGCGATCTCGAAAACTCTTTATAAAAACATATTTTCTTATCTATATGAAGTCTTGATTTTTGTCAAGCTTCTGACTGGTTTCGGCCCACTGTACGCTGGTAGTATACGTGCACGTGGCACGGAACATGTTAAAAGACAATAATTTGAGGGAAAATTTGAGAGAGAATAATATATAATACTAGGAAAGTACAAAGGACTTGATAGGTTTTATGGTAGAAAAATGTAGACTAACAAGGGAGTTTTGAAAAATAAAAATTTTGACAAATTTGAGATTTTACAGAAATGAAGTACATATGATCTGATCATACAGCTATTTGTACAGAAAATATTTTGCTATCTTTTATATTGTTGATAGTACATGCTCTGAAAGGAAAGTACCGATTTTTTTAAAGACATATTTCGCCCCTTAAAAGACCAATTGGATATAAAAAAATTCATGTTCCTTATTTTGGTCTAAATTACAATATATTTCAAGCTCATCAAAATCGGAGGGAGACACTTCCTTGTATTTCCTTATGAGTCCTACCTGATTCTATTGTACTAGGCCTGACCAAAAGAATATTGTGCTGATAACAGGCTGAAGATTAATTTTACGTTTTGAAAGAAATTATTATTGACAATTGATTCATATATGAGTACAAGGAACTTGAGAAAATATTTTTATTATATTACTAATAACAAAAACTATTATAATTATTAGCATCCAAAGTAAAGAAATGGAGGATAAGAAAATTAAAAACAAGTGTCCATTCCAAAATGGGCAGCTGCGTTCTGGTTTACCAAGGACCGGAGAATCACATTCGTGTGACCCAAAAGTCTGTACAGCGCGGGCAGAGTGAGCTCGTCAGCCTATGTTGTAGCCGAACTAAAAATAAAAGTCCATGGTAGGATGATATCAAAAGACCAGGATTTATTATCCCAGAGATCTCGGAGCTACAGAAGTTGGCACGTTAGCGGATGTATCGTCCTAACTTTCCTCCTCCTGTATCGTTATCGAGTGTGAATTCTCGGTGTATATGAATTTTTGGCCATATATCAATCGATATTTTTCACTTCGAACTCCACCTCAGAACAGTTTCGACTTCTTAAAGTACATTTCAGCGGAGAATCCAAATTCACTATTTAATACCAAATAACATAAATACAAAAAATTCTGTCGTGAATGTCTGTTGTTACATAATATATTAGGTGTACAAATGAATAATCCAATTTTTCAGCTACATTCAAGGTTTATTTTAAAAGAAAGTAAATTAAATTGTTTAATCAAAGTATTCGCCGTTGCTTTCTATAACTTTAAGTCATCTTTCAGGCAGCTGATGAATTCCATCTCGGAAAAATGTTATGTCTTTGGACACGATAAAGTCGTCAAGCCATTTTCGGATCTCATCCACTGATTGGAAGTGCATATCGGACAAGGCGTGTTGCATCGATCGGAACAAGTGATAATCGGATGGAGCAATGTCTGGTGAATATGCCGGCCGTGCTGCAAGACGTCCCAGCTAAGACTCATTATGGTGTCTTTTGTATTGGAAGCAATGTGTGGCCAGGCGTTGTCATGCAATAATTTCACGTTTTCCTTTGTCAGTATACGGGCGTTTTCGTTCCAATTCTTGACTCAAGCAGATTAAATGACGTTGGTAGCAGTCCGCAGTAACTGCCGGGTTTCATCTGGTTCCAACAACTCATAATAAAGAACGCCCTTGATATCCTACCAAATGCAGAGAAGAACCTTCTTTCCGAAGCGATTGGGTTTTGTGACCGATTTTGATGATTTGCCGGGATTTACCCATGACTTTCTGCGTTTCGGATTGTCATAGAGTATCCATTTCTCATTGCCCGTAACGATTTTCCACAAGAAAGACTTTCGACGCTGCTTATTAAGAAGAGAAAGACACGCTGCTACTCGTTAATTTTTGTTGGTTTCAGTGAGTTCATGCGGAACCTATTTTCCTTCTTTCTGGATCTTTCCCATCTCATGTAGGCGTTTGTAAATCGTTTGCTGCGTTACTCCCAACTGTTTTGCAAGCTCCTTTTGTGTTTGTGCCGAATTCTCAGCGAGCAGTTCCAAATCATCATTATCGCACTTCGGAGGGCCTCCAGGGCGTTGTTTGTCGATTAGACTGAAATTACCGCTTTTAAACCGCTTAAACTAAAATGCGCACACATCGTACGACACAACACCTTCGCCGAGAAAGGAACAAATTGATCCGCACGCTCTTGCAGCATTTTTTCATTGTTGGAATTCATAAAGAATGCAGTGTCGGATATGCACCTTATCTGTTGCCATTTTCGACTGTACTGAACTGAATACTTTTGAAGGTTATGTTGAGCCTTTCGCCAAACTATATGTTCTTTTTAATAGCTATATGTCAACATTGCATAATCACAAAAGAGCGGGAAAATCTATTCAATTTAAAATTGATTTCATAACTGCTTAAAATAATTTGGATTATTCATTTGTACACCTAATATTATGTAAAGGAGAAAATTGGAACGGAATTAAATTTTAAGTATATAAGTATGAAGTAATAGAATAATGAAGAAGAATAAAAATCAAAAATAAACATATGTTAAATATAACTATATTTTTGTTATAATACTATATAATTAATGATAAATATGTTTATGTTTCTTGTTCATGTTTTTATTATTTGTTTTCAAATATTATTTGAATAGTGTCATTAATAATGTCGTTATTCATGTTAGAAAACCAAACAATCTAACACTTACATCATCAAATTTTTAGAAAGTTACAACTGGACGTCATTAAAAAATACATTAATGAATTGAATTAGATCCACGTCGAAATTCAAAGTTTTTATTTATTGAGACATGTTTCAGATGAAGAATGTGTTTGAAATTTAATGTACTTATTATGTGAAACATGTAAATAAATATTTGATTGAAAACCATTAATATTCCGTGAAACCATTAATACCGTGAAAACTGTGAACACATATTATATTAAAACATCGCCTTTTTCACCGTATTGAAAAAAAATTTCGAATGTAATTGATTTCCCCACATTAGTCCTTTGCGCTCCATGTTTTAATTTGTTTGCTTTTATATATTTTGTAATAGTAATACATATTGTAATAATATACATAATATTGTAATATTATACATTCACCAATTTACTTAAAAATAACAACAAATTATTATTCTTAATTATATTAATAAAATAATTCCTATTTTCCACTGCGTACACGTTTTTACATTATTGTGCCGTTAATTCCTCTTTTCAATTCTGACTTTTAAAGGCTTACGGGATGCTAACATCATTTCTACCTTCAACTCTATTTCATTTATTTCCATCCTTTTGTCCACTTTTAATATGAATGTACGTAATAAAGTTGAAATGAGTACTTTCATAGACATCATTCCATACCTTGAGCCTGTAATTTTATCCATTAAACGTATGTTCCGCCACAGCAGCTTTCAAATCATTTATATCTACCTATACAGTTTCTTGGACCATTACTAAAAGGTATGTAACAATAAGGATGAATATTCTTCATGTTCTCCGGGAGAAATCGATCTGGATCGAACGTCAATGCATTTAGCCAATACTTTTCATTTCGATGCATATGTATTATTCCTATGCCAACTTCAGCGCCTTCCGGCAAAATATATTCTCCTGCAACATTGTTTTTATAAAAATAAATGTTATTGTAATGAAATATTATTATTGTATTGAAATATTCAATAGTCAACTTAAAGAAATATATATTTCATTGTGCAGTGCAATATCATCATTGGACATCCAAACACATACAATTGTATACAATGTAGGTAAACACATAATATTTCACTACAGCAGTTACTACACTTATAAGCACTACTATATTTATAAGCAAACCTATTTGTAAATTTTCATCAAGTCGTCGTCCAATAATAGGCCCAATAGGAAAGAGTCTCAGTGTTTCCTTGATAACGCGTTCCAAGTAATTCATATGCTGTAAATCTTCGAACTTGACAGGCACGGTTTTTGGATCTTGCGTGCCATAAATTTCTACTAATTCCTCGTATACCTTTTCCTTTTAAAAATTAGTTATTAGTAAAAAACTAAAATTATTTATAAGTTAAAATTAGTATACCGGCGTCAGAAAGCGTGCAGAATTTGCTAACAGACTCTGACAGCATCGTTTTGCATTTGCAATAGAAATGCAGCGCAGTCTATTGTTTCTATAGGTCAATCTATAGGTTGTTTAATTAAATCGAGTAGTAATTTTTAATATACAGGGTGTCCCGTTTAACCTGACAAATCGTAATATCTGGAAAACTACATGTCGGATCAAAAAAAGTGGGTAATGAAATTTGTTCGCCTCGAAGGGGGACATCCAATGATATCAAACTCGACCTCCCATCCCACTCCCGAGGGGTGGGGGTGGGGGGCAACTTTAAAATCTTAAATGGGAATTCCCATTTTTTATTGCAGATTCGGATTCTACGCCACAAAATACGTAAGTTTCGTTCGAAACTTTTTTTTTATTCGTGATAGATGGCGCTGTAATCGCAAAAAATTAGATTTTCTGCAATTCTCCAGAAATGATGATTGGATTGAAAAATAAAAAAATACCTGTTCAATATTTTTAAAAATATTTTTAAAAAACATAATAACAGTTATTCCCTCCCATTCCATCGGGGTAGGGTGAGTGGTAACGTTCAAATCTCAAACGAGAACCCACATTTTTCATTGCAGAATTAGATTATACGTGAAGTTCTTATGGAAACAATTTTTTTCATTCGTGATAGATAGCGTTGAATTTTTCCGAGAAACTACTTTTAGCGTTACTCAGGAACAACGACGAGGACGTAGTAGCTTTCTGTTCCCTTCAGGGTGCTTGTTTTAGGTGAGCCCCCTCGCCTCTCACAATTGGGGTGTTTGTTTTAGGTGAGTTTCCTCGCCTCTCACCATCGGGGTGCTTGTTTTAGGTGAGTCCCTTCGCCTCTTACCATCGGGGTGCTTGTTTTAGCTTTACGCGTTCTTTTCTTCAGTTGTACACTTCCAACAGTACAAAACTGTGTAACAACTCTAACGAAAGAAGAACGTGATCGTATTCTTTCAGGAAAACGTTCAGCATACATATTGACAGCATCGTCAAAATTTCTCCTACATTCGCCATAAATGAAAATCATTTCAATTTTTTCTTACACAGTTACATTATCCATGACGCAAAGTCAGAAGAGAATGATAGTGGCATGGAACACTCTTCAAAAATTGATTAAGCACCTCTCCTGATTAGAAAGATAAGTGTCTAATAATGATCGTCTCTTAAGTTCTATGGGCGCGGACGATGGAGAGATGCCACTAACAAATTAATTATGCAAAATCACCCCGATGGTGAGAGGTCACCTAAAACAAACACCCTGAAGGGAATAAAAAGCTTCTACGTCCTCGTCGTTGTTCCTGGGTAACGCTAAAAGTAGTTTCTCGGAAAAATTCAACGCTATCTATCACGAATGAAAAAAATTGTTTCCATAAAAACTTCACGTAAAATCTAATTCTGCAATGAAAAATGTAGGTTCTCATTTGAGATTTGAACGTTACCACCCACCCTATCCCGAGGGGATGGGGGGAATAACTGTTATTATGTTTTTTAAAAATATTTTTAAAAATATTGAACAGGTATTTTTTTATTTTTCAATCCAATCATCATTTCTGGAGAATTGCAGAAAATCTAATTTTTTGCGATTACAGCGCCATCTATCACGAATAAAAAAAAAGTTTCGAACGAAACTTACGTATTTTGTGGCGTAGAATCCGAATCTGCAATAAAAAATGGGAATTCCCATTTAAGATTTTAAAGTTGTCCCCCACCCCCACCCCCCGGGAGTGGGGTGGGAGGTCGAGTTTGATATCATTGGATGTCCCCCTTCGAGACGAACAAATTTCATTACCCATTTTTTTTTATCCGACATGTAGTTTTCCAGATATTACGATTTGTCAGGTTAAATGGGACACCCTGTATAGATGCCGAGCTAAATTAGCTGTATATATTGCCGCATATATGATACATTTTATGAAAGTATGCAATAATGTTTTTAAGAATTCTCCAATCAATGCAAGTATAGATAGGTCCGAATGCACGTATATACACATATATATACATGTATATATACATTGTTGCGGAAGATATATGCACTTTAGACTGAAAAGCGGACACTAAGCAGCGCAAAAGAGAAAAGATTACGACGTAAGTAAAAACAAAAAGATTTTCCCAGTCAGAATAAATAATGTTGATTCGACGTCGATGAGGGTTGAAGTAACGTTGATTCAACGGTTCATCGACTCTTTCAACGTCAAATTAACGTCGAATCAACATTCTGATTGAGCTTTTGGAAGCATCCACCTCGATAATGGTTTATTTTATGGCCTTAGAGTAGACGATTCAGTGTAAATGTAAAATTTGTAATGCTTACGTAAAGTAAACTTAATGTAAAACTTAAACATGTTATTCTCAAAATATATTCTCAAAACGTGACTACTATATCTCGAAAACACCGATTGACTTGCAATTTTACACACTTTTTATGAACATTAAAAACTAATTTTTGGACACAGCAGTTTCTCTCTATGATGCTTAGTTTTTCCTCACAGTCAAAGCCGAGCAACAATTTCAATGAAAAACGTTATGTGAACTTTGACTAGTTGTCATTTTGTTCATAAACAGTATTTCGAAAAACAGTTACGTCAAATACTATATTTATCTTTAAATTTTATGAATCTTGTTTGATTTTGCTTCCAGATGAGGTTTGTGAGAACAACGGTAATAATCGTATAAACGCTGTTTTAAATAATATTGTACAAAATATGCAACAGCGTCGCAAATTTTTTATATTTTTTATGATATTTAAATTTTTAAATAACGAGAAATATGAATTGTTGAGAAATATGAAGTTGTACAAACACACCCTCTGTATTACTTTCCGTTTTTCCGCGAAGAATTCGCAAGGTTTGATCTCATTTTGATTCGTTTAGGTAAATATCTTTCTTTAAATAGCTATTTAAACCGACATTAAACCTTATATTGTACTATATCTGTTACTCGTCTTTCTATACTATTTTAAAGATTTTTGTATTTTCCAGGATGATTTTGCAGGAAATGAATAATATGATGTGAAAAGATAAAAATTATTCTTTATTATTTATGATATCAAGTTGCACTAGCATTGTAAAACCATAAATGTTTCCGTTTATTTTGGCTCGGATGCATCATATCTGCATATTACGAGTCCGTATATCGTAATTGTTAATTCTAAGAAGAATAAAAAATTAATCACGTTAAGGTTGTGGTCCCAGTATCGTGGGCTCAGTTAAAAATCTGGGCCTGGTAGAGCGTCAGGAATATAAACTTCGCATTCCCGTGAGGGTGCAGCTGAAGCCTTCTCCGGTATGCCGCATTACTTAGTTATAAGATGACAAAATACGTAAAAACAGCCCATTTTTACAAATTTAACTGCAAATTTTTCAAAATTGTGATATGATAGAGCAATTTAGTTTGGAGTAATGAACGTTTAATTCGCATTCAGCCTCCAAAAAGCTATGGGAAATGATTAATCTCGTTCTGGCGCTTTTTCTCAGACAAATTTTCTCAAACAATATATAATTATAATTATAATTATCATTTTTACATAATTTTTATATATACACATATTCTGTGATGTTATAATTGTAGATTTTGAGAAAAATTAACAATGTGCGGAGATACGTTAATTATATTAAGTACTTGAATTAATTCTCGCTGTTGACTAATAGAGGTCAGTAATTGTAATATTTTAATATGGCCGAAAGTGACCGTATGTATGTATGAAAGTATTATCAATAGGCTTTAATCAGTATGTGACATTAGATCAGAGTGCAAAGAACACAATTTGTTATTGCATTGAAGATGTCGGGTTTCGTATAAGAGAAAAAGCATTTGCGGGAAGTATTACTTTTCTATTTTGATCTCAAGAAATCTGCTGCTGAAAGTTATCGTTTGCTAATGGAGGCTTATGGGATGCATGCTTTATTTGAAACAACTCGCAGAGATTGGTTTAGACGATTCAAAGACAACAATTTTGACGTGAGTGACAAAGAGCGTTCTGATCAGCCGAAAGAACTTAAAGATGGAGAATTGGAGGCATTACTGGAAAAATTCTATTGCCAACGCAATAGAACAGCAAGAATTAATTCAAGCACCTAATAATTGTAACAATGCATATATGCATTCACTGTGCAAATTACAATACATTTAAAATAATTGAGAATTGTTGATTCTTCTGAAAACTCTTTGAAAATTTTTCTCGACACTAACAAATATGATACAAGAATTGTTAGATATAAAAATTATATTTGATTATTTTCTCGCTTTTTTAGTTACTTAATTCTTTAGTTACTTTGTGTGCGTGTATGCGTGCGCCATTAGTAGTACTTTAATGCCTGCGTGGCATCGTTCCGATCAATCCATTTTTCTAGTTTTTTTTCATTTTTCTTTTTGTATCCAGTAAGCGAATTACCTAAAAATTGCGCTCAAATTTGCAGCAAATTCGATCAAAAATCTATACCAAAACCATAGCCATCTACGTCTGTATTCAGTTCGTGTTTTGATGTCAAGATCTGCTCCAAGTTGCCAGGCAGCAACTCCCTGTTGCATATTTGGCAGCAGTTTGGGAACAGAATTTGATAACACAGATCTTGCATTAAATTTGTCAATAACTTCTCTCAAAATTTGCTCGCGCAGGTTTGGCTATCTGGATGTAAGTCTGATTCGTATGTGTCATTGACTCGACATTGTGCTAAGCAGCAGTATACATAAAGCACTATATATAAACGTTTTTGTTGTTCTTGGCGTTGACCAAAGAGTAGTTCAATCGTCTTAAGAGGTTATGGGACCAAGTAAACGCGTATCGTAACTTGTGAACAATCTCTTGTTTCTCTGGCCAATTCTTTCTCTCATTTGACCGAAGCACAAATCATGGTAGAATCGTTAGATCTTCGGAACATAACTAAATTTGATGGAAATAATTTCTAGCTATAGAAATTTTAAATATGCTCTATTCTTATTGCATTCGGACTATTGGAAGTGGTCGGTGGTACAAAAATCAAATCGAAAGGTAGCTGATAATATTAAAAAAGGAATAAGAAGAATATAAAAGCCATGTACGTATTATCTTCATCTATGGAATATTCTCAGCTTGAATATTTAATTATATGTGATACTGCAAAAGCTATGTAGGTCAAGCTTTGCAATATTCGCGAGTAGATAAGAGCGAAACAAATAAATTATTACTTATAACCAAGTTTCTACCGCGTATCACCTAATGATTCCGTAGCTTAATACATAGCATAAGTTGAAAATAAGGCACGCCAATTGAGAAATATTGATGAAGCAGTTTCAGATGTTATAACTATAACAAAAATACTTGGAAGTTGTCTCTCAAAATGTAGCATTTTTGTCACTGCATGAGACAATGTGGATGCTGCAAATCAGACAATATAAAATCTGACAACACATCTTACATATCGATACATGGGACATAATGCTATTTCTGTTAGTTTACCTTCAATAATTGTTACATTTAAAAATATCCCACTAAACACAAAGTATCGTCGATGTTACAATGTCAGCTAAATCATATGGTATGTAACTTTTACTTTGTTATATAAAAAAGCAACTGTTATGTAACATATGATTTAGCTGACATTGTAACATCAATGATATTTTGTATTTACTGGGATTGGTTTGCTTGTGTTGCATTCAATATGACATTATTTGTATTATTGCTCTTGTCAGTTATTACACTGCACAATTGAATTTGGCTAGCCCTCAAAGTTGCACATGAAGATTACTGTGTGAAAATTCACAATATTTCCTGATCCCTATTGAAGTACTAGGAGGAATTGGTGCAGCACATGTTTCAAGAGTTAGCAGCAGAATCAAGATTTCCTTTTCTGAAGATCTCCTCCTTCATGGATCGATAAAGGGTAATAAGACACGATGCGATGGGACTACGTGTTATATTAACATCAATGTTTCGTGGGGGAAGAAAAAATTTTTATTTGTAAGTTAGCGTAATATACGATTGATGAGGGCCAAATACAGTACCGAAACAATTGGTTAATTATATAATATGTATTTTATGATACTTGACATTTAATAAAAAAGAATTTATTATAAAAGAACACATTCACATCGTGTGCGAGTTCCAATTGGCCAGTTTTAAATATTTAGATTCTATATTGTTAGGATCTTTAACTATATCCTTTAAATAATAAAGAATAATTTTATTTTTTCACATCGTACGTAATTTTTACAAAATAATTTTATAAAATAGACGTAACTAAAATGGAGTATTAAAAAGAACGAGTACAGGTATAAGATAGGACAGTAGTTAACACTTCCTTACAATAAATAATGTAATAGATTCAAATAGAACAATATAAGAAAACTAATACGGTTATTGAGAAACAGAATAATCTCAGAAAAAGAATTAATTAAACTTTAATACGTACTTGAATTTCTGGAAAATTTGCCAACATAAATATTGTAAAATACATAGTGATGGCAGTCGTGTCAGATGCCTGCATAAGAGAAAACTGGTTTTATCAGTTCTATAATTTCATTAAATATATTTAGTTCCTTTAGTTTCATTAATACATTACATGAATGGTTATATAGAGAGTTTGGCAACTCATATAGCTATAACCAATGGAGGCGTAGAGCTAATTGAGATAAAGAAAAAAGTCAAATACCATGTGGGAAAAATTGTAAAAATGACGTAAAAGTCGCAAACGTTATATGTGAAAAAAAATCGACTGAATTAGTGTACGCTGCGGTAATAGTAATAGATAACACGCTCGGCTACTCGAACTTACTTCACCAACGGCCTGTTAACGGTTTATTTCTTCAAGCAATAGCTACCAGTGCGGGGTGAGAGAAAGAAAGGGCCGTCGGCAGCTATTGCTACGTGAGATGGGCCACGCTATAAGCTTGAGCATCTAAGCGTGCCATCCACTATTGCGGCAGCATACGCTAATTAATTCGATTTTTTTATGCGTAATTCGGCTATTCTTACAATTTTTGCCAAATGGTATTTGACTTTCTTCTTTATATCAATCAGCTCTATGCTTCTATTAGCTTTAACTACATAAGTTACTAATCACCATGTGTGCACTCAGGGCCGGTGTTCCAACTTCTTAGTAAGTTAACTGATAGTTAAATCATATGTTCGTCTTCGTTTTTTCTTCAACTTAGACAAAAACAGAGATATGATTTAACTACCAGTTAACTTACCACAAAGTTGGAACAATTGACCCTCAGAGGTATGGTGTCCCTCGGCGGTGTTGTATACGCCTGTAAAACAATCAAAAGCGATAACAGGCATATACGCAAGGCGTACTGTTCAGCGCGAGAGAAACGAGGAAGGAGCGTAGGAGAAGTGGCGCGAAGCGTTCCAATGTTGCATCTTTATCGCATTTCGCACGATCGAGAGAGAAAGCATTACCAGACGGGGTACGGTTAATGGTGTCCCCACTAGCTGTCTCACTCACTCTACGCTTGAATATGAGTGAGACAGCTATAGGGACCGCGCTGTCTCTATAGGTGTCTCGCTCGCTCTAATAGCAATGTATCGTGCTTTCCTCTTTTTTCCTTAACAGAAATGTCGATTAAGTAGGGAATCCTGTCTGTAGGCCAGAAAAATAGGCAATTTTCACGAACTTTTCGGAAACTAAGCGGATGATTTCAAACTTGGTAGAGATAATAATATATATATAAATATTAAGAATGAATTTTTATAGTGTTATACGTATGAATAATAATGTAGCAGATACACAAAAAATAACGTGACATATTTAAGCGCGCGCTGTTTTGCAGCTTCTATAAAATTTCGAAATATGGCGGACTGGGATAAAAACGCAAGTAAAATAACTAATCTACGAACTTGCCACTATCATTTGAACGAGGGAAATAAAAAACGAACTACTTTTTCAATAATCTTAAGGTATTCAAAAATTATATTTGAAAAATCCTCATAAAAATCGATAGTTTTAAGTTAAAAATATTTAATTTGCAAGAAAACAATATTTCATGAAATTTACGAAAAAACTTATGTTATGCCATAAAATATGTCAAATTGTGCAATTTTTTTTAAATGCAACACGTCTTTACTTTTGAAAAGACTGCGGGAAAGAGGGACGATTTTTTAAATAGCGCGGTCCCTATAGCTGTCTCACTCATATTCAAGCATAGAGTGAGTGAAACATCTAGTGGGGACACCATTATCCGTACCACGTCTAGTAATGCTTTCTCTCTCGATCGTGCGACATGCGATAAAGATGCAACATCGGAACGCCTCCCGCCACTTCTCCTTTGCTCCTTCTTCGCTTCTCTCGAGCTGTACAGTACGCCCTGCGTATATGCCTGTCATCGCTTTCGATTGTGTTACAGGCGTATACGACGCCGCCGAGGAATACCATACCTGCCTCTGAGTGTACATCCCGATAAAGTTAAATTATACGAACCGCTGTCATCATTGTATTGATCTCATCGAGAATTTCCTTGCGATTAAATTTCTTGCCTTCGTCAGACGCTTCCATTAGTATATCGAGAAATATCCTTTTTGCTATTTTATTCAAACAGAAAACAATATAAAATGTATTCTTTTTTATATTGGTGACGAGATTCTTATATTATTGCTAAATATATTGCTATAGAGTATCCCAAAACTGCCGGATTTTCTCTTAAAGGGTGAAAGAAGGTGCAATTAGGAACCGAAAGTTTCTCTACCACTTTTGGATCAGAACATTAGTTTATGAGTTAATAATTAATGAACCTGATCAATTGGATTATTCGATGGGCGGGTACACAGTGGAGTAGGATTCCAATTTTAATTTTAATCTATCAAACTGCTGGGTTTCATCAAACAGGGTTTTGCATATTCTGCGTTAAAAATTTTCAAATTCAGATAGAGGGAAAGAAAAGGATGGACGCGGAGAGAGAAAGGGAAAGGGGCAGAAGGAAGAGAGGCGAGAGAGAAGGGGCGGCATAAATATAAAATCTATTGAGACACAGAAAGCGAGAAGCAGTTTCCCACACATTGTGTAGATTTTATGCAGCCCCTTTAATTCTTTACGTGAAAATCCGATAGTTCTGGGACACCCTGTATGTGTGTTGAATTCATTTGCATATCTCATAACAATATTTTGTCACCAATCTCTGATCAATGCAAATGTCTTGCACTAAATAATATATTATAAACATAAATTGGTAAGGAGCAAGAAATATTTTCTTTTATATATGTATAAATTTAATATATAAAATATATAACTTCAACAAGCAAATTTTAAGATATTTTGCAACAACCGCAAAAATATAGCATTTGAAGACATACAAATAAAACATTAACAACTTACAGGGTTTTGCATATTCTGCTTTAATAGAGTGCAGATTATTTTTTGCGTCTTCCTTTTGTATTACCTGTATGATAATAACTTATATAGCGATCAAACAATATAACATCTATAAAAAATGTATTTGCATAATACCTACTTCTTCTGCAACAGAATTTAGATAATTTATATGCTTCTGCTGCTCACGGTTTAGAGTAGTAAGGTTAAATATCATATCGGAATGTAAAAATATATTCCGCAATCTATGTATAACTATATTTTTCAATCTAAAAATAGACATCGCGACGACTTCATTAAAACTTCCAACTTCTGAATATAACATATATCATTTACAAGAATTGAAAAATAAAAGATCTGCAAAACAGAATCATACCTTGACACCGCTTTGGCATACTGATTATTTTTATTTGATTGCGATTCCAAATTGATACCCAACAAAGTGTCTTCAGATTTTGCATGAAAATGTCGGGGTTTTTAATTTTAATGTAATGCTTTTTTCAACTTAATATAACACTCTTAATTTTAATATAACGGTTTTATTTTAACTTAATATATATCATGAAATATATTATTTAAAATTTTCATTGTGGTTTTGTACATTTAATATAATGAAAAGTTTACGGCATATACAATTTTTAACAAATTAATGTGAAATAATAATTTTAACTTACCGTAAACTATGTCCAACGTACACGTCGCTAAATGATGATCTAAATCAATTTCGTCGTTTGTCATGTGTTCTAATTTTTCCATAAATATTGAAGCTTGTTTCACAAATGTATCGCAGAATACTCGTAATATGTTTGTATTGAAGCTCGTTGTTAACATTCTTCGATGTCTGACCCATTTGGATGCTGAGGAAAATTAAATATTAGAAAGAAATAAGAAAGCAATAGGGTACATCATTTGCAAAATATTAGAAATTTGTCAATAACCCTTACAAATATTTGTAAATTTCCGAAAATATACAAAGTATCCCATACTTATTCTGAGGAATTCGTGGAGATATAGAACGAATTAATACAAACATAAATGTCATATACCATTTAGTAATATTCGCAATAATTTTCCAGTTTTTAATTATAGAAATCTGATTAATGAACGCTCCCTGAGACAATATTGGAAGAGCATTATAGCTGCTCGAGCTATAGCGCTGCTTAGTCGACACAGTAACTATTGCGCGCGGCGAAACTTAGGAGCAACGAGATAAAACACGAGTAGCGACGCGTTGTCCTCTCGACGGGCTTTCATTGATTAGATTTCTGTAACTAATAACTCGATATTGTGATTCGCAAATCGATATTTGACTTTTTTATATCAATCAGCGTTATGCCTCTATTAGCTATGGCCACATAAGTTATCAAATGTACTGTATATGAAGTTATTATTACATATTGTGTAAGATATTTTTTCATGTGTTATTATAATAATTACAACTTTATTGTTTAACTATCAAATACATTGGACAGTATATATATAAATTTATTATTTTATTAATTTATAATATTCTTTTGGTATATTTGTTAATGTATAGCACAACGTCGATTGAAACGTCGTATACAGGGTGTTTGATAGCTGATTATGCAGACGAAAGTTGGAGATAGATTGGTGTAGCCGAGAAGAAAAGTCATGTACCATAATGTCAAATTGGCAATAGTTATCGAGTTATTAATTGAAACATGTAAGCCAACGAGCGCGTAGAGAGCGCTGGGCGGCCGCCTCTTGTCGCTTGCGCTCGCTCGCTCGTCATTCGCGCTCGCTTGCTCCTCGTCGCGCGCGCTCGCCTATTGACGCTCGTTGACTCCGCCTATACCAAAGGTCTACGTGCTTACTGCAGCCGCCCAGCTCTCTCTACGCGCTCATTGGTTCACATGTTTCAATTAATAACTCGATAACTATTGCCAATTTGACATTATGGTACATGATTTTTCTTCTCGGCTACACCCAATCTATCTCCAACTGTCGTCTGTATGATAAGCTTTCAAACACCCTGTATGTTCGTTAAACAGAAAGCATGTTTCATGCCCATATTTCAATAGTTATTAATTTCTTTTAATTTTTATTAAAATATTATATTGAGCAATAAATTCGTGCGATTTTTAGCGACAGATAATTTGGACGCTGTATGGCCCAGTTCCACAAATCCGAGTTTGAGCCAAGCTTAGTTGAGCGGCTGTTACATTTAACGTCATGGTTAAACTTGCGTAGCGTTCTACGTTCTACGCATTTCTAATCGTAGTTTATGTAACCTATAGTCTATACAAAGAAAATCGTAGTTTATGTAACCTATAGTCTATACAAAGAAAATCCTAAAGATGTCTCCTTCTTGTCAAATCTGGATTGTGATTAGTTAATAATAAATGCTCGGAAGTAGAACGGGAGAAAGGACGAAAACAAGTCGCTCAATTTCTGCTGGAATTGCAGTAACAGATTCTTTAGATAAACGAAATCGTGCATGAAAATCAACGTCGTCAAATTCTCCAATATATAATGGTCATCTTTTCTCTTATAATTCTCGGTCGTCGATAAATGAAATTTTCCAGATCTTCATCTTCAGATGAAAATAATATGTGTTCTAAAGCCATATCTCACAAGGAGACTTACGAAAGTCCTGACCGGAGATCGAGCGAGCCCTCGAGTATCACAGGGTGCCCGCTTATCTCCGGCGCATACTGTCGGCCTATTTCAGGGACAGGGGCCTCGCCTACTCTAGGAGAGGCGGGATCCAGGGTCTGTGCGCCATGGAGTGTGGTGTCCCGCAGGGGTCGGTCCTCGGCCCCCTGCTATGGGATATCACGTTCGACCGAGTGCTGCGCTCTCCCCTTCTCCCTGGCTGCCACGTCATCCGCTATGCGGATGACACATTAGTGGTAGCCGCGGAGAGAGACTGCGAGGAAGCCCGCCTTCGAGCGGAGATGGCACTGCATACCGTGGTGGGCACATCGCGGACCTGGGACTCAAGGTAGCACCCCTGAAGACTGAGGCTGTCTTCTTCCATAACGGCCGCCGCGGGGCGCCGCCGGAGACCCAAGTGGATGGAGTCCGCGTCCGCGTTGGGCCCACGATCAAGTATCTGGGCCTGACATTGGACGGCCGATGAAACTTCGGGGCCCACTTCAAGGGCTTGGCTCCCCGGGTCCGAAAGGCCTAGCGCTAACCGGCCTGATGAAGACCCAAGGGGCCCCGGATGGCACGCTCGCCGCCTAGACATCGGTGTGGTGCTCTCGATCGTCCTCCACAGGGCGCCCATTTGGCGCCCCGGCTAATGGCCTTCGGCCGCAGCAAGGCGCTTCTGCGCCAAGCCATGCGGTCAGTCATGAGGACGATACGGGGTTACCGCACCATCTCGTATAGTGCGGCGACGGCCCTGGCCGGCTCTCCCCCAGTGGAGCTCCTTGCCGATAAGAGGCATATCCTCTATTGGAGGGTGAAGAAGCTCCGCGAAGGGGGGAGGGATTATCAGCCGGGGACTTGAGGGCCCTGAAGACCCAGGCCCGTGTCCTGGAAAGGTGGTCGGCCATATTGGCCGACCCTCGAGGATTCGAGCTTCGAACGGCCGAGGCCGTCCGCCCCTGCCTGCCAGAAATGGCGGGTAGGCGGGGACGCGAGCTCACCTTCTATATGGTGCAGATACTGACCGGGCATGGCTGCTTCGGTCGGTACCTGCACCGGATTGGAAGGGAGCCCACCGCGGGATGTCACCACTGCCCGGCGCGGGAGGATACGGTACAGCATACCCTGGCGGAGTGCCAGGCGTGGAGCAAGTAGCGCCGTGTCCTCGCCCGGGCGGTGGGGTGCCAGAGGAAGAATCTCTCGCTCCTGCACTTGCTGAGAACAATGTGCGAGAGCGAAGAGATGTGGGGAGCGGCGGCCTCCTTTTGCCGGGACATGTCCCGCAAGGAGGCCACCGAGTGGAAGCGTCGACCACCCCATCGCAGGGATTAACAAGTTTACTGCATGAGGATATTTATCGCATAAGAAATGCAACGATTATATTTTCTGCGTTACAAAACTGTTTGTCGTATGCAAAGTCTTACCAGGAGCTGTAAACAATCCTGTTCCCATCCACGGCTTGAAAATATCATAGAACTTGCTTTTGTTTAAACAATATCGGCTTTGGAGGATCGTCTGTAATATATAATAGTGATTTGCTAAAATGTCTATTATGTTATTGCTTTTTTATGCTAATGGATTCTGCAATTATAGTATATAGAATGCGTATTATATTCATAAAACATACATTCTTATAAATTCAATTAACTAGGAAGGCAAAGAAGAGCTTGAGTAGAATATATAATACATATATATATAAACTTTCTGCGTATTCCTTATCATTTAATAAACATAGCTCTTTATTTGGGTGTGCAGAAAATGTTAAAAACCTTTTAATATTTCGAAAAATATATTTTTTTTGAGAAAATCGGTCCATATAAAAGTTATAGGTTTTGAAGTGAAATATACAATAAATAGTACGACCTTGATTAGAGTTCTTTCAAGATTATATAAAGATTTAAAGTTTAAGCACCTTAAAGTTATCTTTATGTGAGAGATAGATAGGGCATTCAGGATGATGAAAGAACCGGGCGTCTGCATACCAGCCGAACTGAGCCGAACATCGAAGTTATTTGTTCCTAAAGGACAAGCAATGAATGCAGTATTCTACGTGAGTATAATGGATCGGCTATTGAATCACATCGCGTGTGTGCGTCCGGATTTGTATACAAACGAAAATTAGTTCTTACTGCATCATAACGCGCCGTCTCACACTGCAGCAGTAATTCGTTAGTTTTTAACAAAATAACTGTTACTGTGCTACGCCATCCACCGTACTTGCCAGATTTAGCACCGGTGGCTTACTTTTTGTTTCCAAAGCTGAAATTGAAGCTAAATGGACAATGATTCGACAATATCAAAACGATCTAACCTTTACGGAAAAAACTCAAATATTGAGTTTTTATACTCGATTTTGAAAGTAAACTCTCAAATTTGGGTATACATACTTATATTTTGCGTGTCTGCACTGAATATTGAGTATTTATATTGAACATTGAATGTTTACTTCTAGAGATTGAGTATTAATACTCACAATTGAATGTATTCTTTAAAAGATGGAGTGCGTACACTCAATAACTGAGCATTCGCATTCCAGTTTGAGTATATACATTGAACATTTAAAAGTTTATCCTGCACACTTAAGTATGACATTGAATAGTATGACATTGAAACTCTATACAGGGTGTCTGAGAAATGTTAGACTTACCAATTTGTATAGGTAGAATAGGTGAAATTGAACAATAAAGTCATGTAAAATGTTCTAAGAATCGTAATAGTTATTGAGTTATTAATTAATATATCTAGGCCAATGAGCGTATGGGAGACGGTAGGATGAATTCGACAGAAGTATGAAGACAATAGACAACACAAATGTCTTACTTCTGAATACTCAAATCATAACAAAGATAATTAGCTGATTGCATTTGGCGGATCAATACACGATCAAGGATCAAGGATCAAGATCCTTTCCTCGTCTTCAACGGCAAGATGCACTAATGCACCAGCTGTGTTCCATAGTTATGCATTAAGCACTCAGTCTCACGTAACTTTTACACTGCATATAAAATTATTTTTCTCGATGGACGTCTTATATGCCTAGGAAATCGTTCCACATAGATGCGAGCTACGACATGTACATTGTCGCTTGCTAGCCCGTAGACAATGATCATATCAGTGCACTCCTTTGGAGTAAATTTTATTTTTTGTCGCGGAGCAGCATGACACGTATCAAACAATTTCATGAGTCTGAAGACGTGACTGTTGGATCATTGTCATAGACGACGATCATAAATAAAAGATGATTACCCTATCTTGCGATCTGCATGTATCTATTTGTATATACTTCTACCAAGTTCAGTCTATTGTTTTTCGTGCGCTCATTGGCCCAGTTTTAATTAATAACTTAATAACTATTGCAATTCTTGGAAAATTTTATATGGCTTCATTGTTCAATTTCACCTGTTCTATTTGTACAAATCGCTTGGTTCAAAATTTCTCAGACACCCTGTATAAAACTGTATAAAACCCTGTATAAACACTTTTTATATAATAAATTCTTAAGTTAAATATATATTATAAATATTGTTTTTTAAATAAAATAATAGAAAATAATTGTGTAACAATAGTATGTTCAACACAGTGCTCCAATAATAATTATTTATATCAATAGAGAAAAAAGTAAAATGTGCTAAAACAAAGCTTATTAATAAAATGCTACATAATTGCATGAATGATGGTGAGACAAATAATAAATACGTCATGTATCAAAAGTGTATATTTTTCTATAATATTAATTATATGCATAATAAATATACATGCGTATGTTGATAAGTTTCCATTTTATTAACTAATGGCATTGCATTGAGAACATGACCGAATCATGACGAAAATATAAGTTTTTCTCATCATTTTGAAGTTATTTTGATGTTATCATGATTTTCTCTTCTGCCTAGATATAAGACCTACCGTTATATGGTAAAAGTATACATTTATCATATACTTTTACCATTTACTATATACTTTTAATTAATAAAATTGTTACCATTTACTTTATACTTTTAATTAACAAAATTGTTAACCAATTGTTATTTAGTAACAATTGTTTTTCTCTATATTACTTATTATTATTATTAATGAGTATTTTAAAGGAATATTTTTTTTCAGGATGTAACCTGTCAAGTGCTATAGTTTATTCATCAAACTGCATATCCAGCTTGTTGTTATACTAAACTTTAATGTAACAACTGCTTCGGATTTAAACACAAATATTAGGTTGGAGAAAAAGAAATTAATTATTTTTTCGTTTATTTCAAGGCTTTATTTAACATAGTTAGGATTGTTCGATTTTGGTCCAAGCATCGGTTTGTTCTACAATTTGTCGCCATTTTAAAGATAATTTCATGATCCCTCTTTCACAGAAGCCCTGGTCCTTATTTGCAAAAAACTCGATTAAGCGATTTTCACAGTCTTCTCTTGAGGTCAATTTCTTACCATCAAGAAAGTTTTGCAATGACAAAAACAGATGGTAATCACCAGGTCCGGACTATATGGTGGATGCATCAAAACTTCCCAACCAAGCTCTCAGAGTTTCTGACGAGTCACTATATAGACGTATGTGGCCTGGCATTGTCCTGATGAAAAACAATTCCTCTCCTATTGACCAATTTTGGCCGCTTCTGGTCGATCTAGCTTCAAACGGTCCAATTGTTGACAATAGAGGTCCGAATTTAGTGTTTGGCCACATGAAAGCAGCTCATGGTGGATGATTCCTTTATAGTCCCACCAAACACTCAGCAAAAACTTCCTGGCCGTTAATCCTGGTTTGGCCACCGTTTGAGCCGCTTCGCTGCGCGTTGACCACGATCGTTTTCGCACAATATGTAATCCATTTCTCATCCCCAGTCACCATCCGTTTCAGAAATGGCTCGATTTCGTTCCGTTTGGTCAAGGCTTCGCAGATTGAAATTCGGTCCATCATGTTTTTTTGCGTCAATTCGTGTGGCACTCAAACATCGAGCTTTTTTTGAATCCAGCTTTATGCAAATGGTTTAAAACTGTTTTGTGGTCCATCTTCAGCTCCTGGGCGATACTACGGCTGCTAACATGCCGGTCTACTTCGATCATTTCCATAATTTTATTGACATTTTCGACGACGGGCCTACCTGTGCGAGATGCATCTTTAACATCAAAATTACCGGAACGGAATCGACGAAACCAAAATTGCGCGTGATTGGCTGTGACAGTATCGGGACCATAAATACCATTCACAATTTCAGCCGCCTGGCTTGCATTTTCGCCTTTATCGAAGCAAAATTGTAAAATATCCCGAATTTTCTCTTTGTTGACGTACATCTTTTACGTGCTATAACAACTTAATCGACAAATCACAAAACCGTTAAAGAATTTTGTTAGTACGGAATGTCACTTTTCCAACGAGTATAAATATTAACCTATGCGATTAATACATCACGTGATATATACCACTAAAGCCATCTAGCGGAAAAATAATAGATTTCTTTTTCCCCAACCTAATACAATGGTATCTTTAACTTGAGAATTAACTTCAAAGTTATTCTGAATTTCAGTACTCATTTCAGTGTTATTCTCAACTGTAGAGTAACTTAAACTAACTCTCAAGTCGAGAATAACACAGGCATAATCACAGGCCTCAAGATGAGGATAACACTCACGTCACACTCAAGTATGAGGGTTACACTCAAGTTGAATATTACCTAGTCAGAAACATTTCTTATGAAAAAACACTCAAATATTGAGTATTTATACTCAGTTGTTCGAATTTACTCTCAAATGTGGGTATATATACTCAAATTTGAGTGTATATTTAAGGATAAATTTGAACAATTGAATATAAACACTCAATATTCGAATGTTTTTTCCGTAAGGAATAACATCGATGTCGATGTCGATTCGACATTGATTTGACGTTGAAATGGTCGGTGAACCTTTGAATCAACGTTAATTGAACCCTCATCGACGTCGGATCCACGTTGTGGTTCTGACTGGGTCATACTTAATTGAATATTCGAATTTACGTCCAAATTGAATATTATTTTGAGTGTATTTTTGAGTTTCTTTTCCATAAGAGGAGATAACGTAATGAAGGAGCTACGAAACATTGCAATAAGAGATTTTCAGCGGCTGGCTTTGGAGCGGCTGGCAGAGCACATTGAATAGCATTGTATAGCTTTACAGGGATCATAGAATAATTACTAATAAACATTTTTTTACCTTACTTTCTTTTGTTTATGAGATTTTGTTTATGAGAAAAAGTCCGAAAACTTTTTATCCACACTATGTATACGTATTGTTGTTTCCAAGACACAAGGTTTGTGGCAGCGTCCGTTGTCCGCGAGCCTTAAGCATCTGATCGATTGAACAACTGAAGAAGGATTGTCTGGACGACGGAATCAACCAATAAAGGAGAGATCAGCTGACAGAGAAACGTTGACAACGATCTTAAGAATTTGCGTGAAAACCTGAGCTTTTGCATATTTGAAAAGAGTTCTGTTATTATAAAATAATAATAGTTCTTCCTGAACGAATTATAATTATTTTCGTAAACTCGGTACGCGCGAGTTGGTCGTGGGTAACAGTATACATTATATATTCTATTCAAGCTTTTCTTTCACTTGTTAGTTGGTTGACCTTTTGATACGTTCTTTTGATATACCAGGTATGTAAATATGAAACCGGAATTTTTGTATAGAAAATACACGTTTATTGTATTAGGTGCGCAACTAAGTTCCCGCTGTTTTTCAAGAGATGGCTCCAGTAGTAAGTGCTAGTCGATTATGACATAACCAAAACGTCATGAACCAAGCTTAGACATATGGTAAACAAACCGCTTTGACACATTAGTGATTTTGTTTTTGTGTCATATACTTTTGGTTGTGTGAAAATTTCTGATTTTGTGTCAAATAATCGTCATTTGCGGGAAGTGTTGCTTTTCTTCTTTTATTCGAAGAAAACGGCGGCTGAAGCGCATCGAGAACTCCAAAAAGTTTACGGAGATGCTGCTCTAAGTGAAACAACGTGCCGTGATTGGTTCCGTCGCTTCAAAGACGGTGATTTCGATGTTGACGACCGTTCGCGTGAAGGAATGCCAAAAACCTTCGAAGACGCTGAATTGGAGGCATTGCTCGATGAGGATCCGTGCCAAACGCAAAAAGAGCTTGCTTCAGCATTAGGAGTTACCCGCCAAACCATTTCCAAGGGATTGCATGCGTTGGGAATGATTCAAAAATAAGGAACTTGGGTTCCTTATGATTTGAAGCCAAGAGACGTTGAGCGTCGTTTTTTCGCCTGTGAACAACTGCTCCAGCGGCAAAATAGGAAGGGTTTTCTTCATCGCATCGTTACGGGTGATGAAAAATGGATTCATTACAGCAATCTAAAGAGAACAAAATCATGGGGACTGCCCGGTCATGCTTCTACGTCGTCGGCTTGGCCGAATATTCACGCTGCGAAGGTTTTGTTGTGTATTTGGTGGGATCAGGGCGGTGTTATTTATTATGAGCTGTTGAAACCGAACGAAACTATCACTGGGGAACGGTATCGAACTCAATTGATGCGATTGAGCCGAGCACTGCGCGAAAAGCGGCCACAATACGAGCAGAGGCACGAAAAAGTGATTCTACAGCATGACAACGCTCGGCCTCACGTTGCCAAACCCGTTAAAACCTACTTAGAAACGCTCAAATGGGAAGTCCTACCCCACCCGCCATATTCCCCAGATATTGCGCCGTCTGATTATTACTTGTTCCGTTCGATGGCACATGGTCTGGCTAATCAGCAGTTCCGCTCATATGAAGACATCTCAAAATGGCTTGATTCGTGGATAGCCTCAAAAGACGAACACTTCTACCGTGACGGTATTCGAGCTCTGCCAGAAAGATGGGAAAAAGTTGTCGCTAGCGATGGGCAATATTTTGAATAATTCATTTGTAACCATTTTTTCACAATAAAGTTGCATTTTCATCAAAAAAGCAGCGAGAACTTAGTTGCGCACCTAATATGAAAATGATAAAAAATATTTTATTCGAAATATTGCCCATCGCTAGCTATACATTTTTCCCACCTGGCTGACAATTTGTGGATGCCACGACAATAAAACTGTTGCTCTTTTGAGGCAAACTAGTCATCGAGCCACTTTCGTATATTTCCGTAAGAAGTGAAGCGCTGCTGAGCAAGTGCGTGCCGCATCAATGCAAATAAGTAGTAATCGGACAGAGCTAAGTCTGGTGAATAAGCCGCATGCGAAAGTATCTCCCAACTAAACGCCTCAATCGTTTCCTTGACCAGTTTTGCTGTGTGTGATGGTGTATTATCATGAAGCGAAATCACTTTGTGTTGCCTTTTTTGATATTCTGGTCGTTTTTCACGCAAAGCTTGATTCAAATCGATCATTTGTTGTCGGTAGCGTTCAGTATGAACGGTTTCACTAGGTTTTAGCAGCTCATAATAGATCACACCCTTCTGATCCTACCAAACACAGAGCATTGTCTTCCGTCCATAGCGATTTGGCCTTGCAGTCGATGTCGATGGTTCGCCTGGAGTTACCCATGATCTTTTACGCTTAGGATTCTCAAAATATATCCACTTTTCATCGCCAGTCACAATTCGATGGAGAAATGACTTTCTTTTGTACCTGGCGAGCAGCATTTCGCAAGTGGTTTTTCGGTTTTCCTGCTGTCTTTCATTCAATTCATGTGGAATTTTATTTTCCCATCTTCTGAATCTTTCCCATGGCTTTCAAATGTATGAAGACGGCTTCTCGTGTCACATTTAATTGATCCGCGAGTTGTTGTTGCGTTTGAGCGTCATCCTCATCCAATAATGCTTGCAATTCGCTGTCTTCAAATTTTTTCGGTGGTCTTCCACGTTCTTCGTTTCTCACGTCAAAATCGCCACGTTTGAATTTTTTAAACCACTCAAAGCACTGTGATTTACCAAGAGCATGCTCACCGTAAGCTTCGATAAGCATTCGATGCGATTCTGCAGCAATTTTCTTCAAATGGTAACAAAAAATCATTTGCTGTCCGCAAATCGTAGCTTCCAGGCACAAAATTCGACGTGTTCAACGCTATTATAAACTATGCTGTTGTATGAAACTTGTATTGTTGTGAGTTGAAAATCTTTGTCAGATGTCAACAAATGGAAATGGCGCCAATGACGCGGTTTGACGGTAACTACATTGACAGCTAGGGCCATCTATAGGCAAATTTCATATTTACAAACCTGGTATTAAACATACTTTTGATATATTAGAAAGCAGCAATGATATATTACAATTTTATAGTTAGTTTGTACATGATTCATTTAGAAATAAATTAACAAATACGTATTCTTTTACCTTTGCTTGGTCTGGTTCGGATATAATAATAATTAACTTATTGCCCATCCATAATCGAAATGGAGAAGGAAAAATATCCACAAGCTTATACAGACTGGGCAGTAAATCTGAAACTTTTTATGCTTGAGAAGTACATTACAGTGAAGCAGTTGTCTATTTAATTGTATTAAAATTATAAAGAATATAATAAAAAAATTAAAAAGAATATAATAAACGTCCTATAATTTTAACATGAAATAATAATATTACATATATAGTTTCCTTTTATTAAAAATATTGTATAATTAAGTAAAGAGACGGGAACCATTTACCGATTTCAATAATTGTGATACATATTGTTATAGTTATTACTGTGAGTAGTAGTTAGGAAATTTTCAGTCTCAGTACTTGTTATTGTTGTTTATTGAAAAATTATTAAAAAAGAGAGATTCTAATAATTTTATAGCTAATATTTACGTTTAAAACTTAATTATTGATGTATAAATACGGTTTCAGAACTAGATGGCCAAACTTTAAGAGCATATTCTACTCATTGTAAAGATGCAAAAGATCATAAAAACATGGGTCTAGGAATGATCCTTCTTTTCCAAGTTATAAACACTTTCTATTGACAATAGACGTTGATAAGAACATTTCATTAAAGAAATTGTTGGAAATAATTTCTTTTTGCAATAATACATACCTCGCATCGATGTCTCGTGAAGTGTTAAAAACATTCAAAAATTTCTGGAATATTTTGTGTTTTGTCATATAAAGCGATAATACGATTTCTACAATAGCAACAGGGTCTCATAAACAACCTAGCAAACATATTATTACATGCAACATACTTGTTACTTGTAATTTCCTATTCAACAGCTGTTATATAACGCATATGTCATATAACAGTTAAATTATTAAGTACGAAATTACAATTAACAAGTATGTTACATGTTACATTGTGTTTGCTGAGAAAAGTTTTAAGATGTTCGCATAAATAAAAAGCTAAGAGATGGAAATCTAACAAGGGGAGGACGCATCGACCGGGAAACGGTTTGGAACGAAACTTACGGAGTTAATAGTACTTGACTACTAATAACTCATGCTAATAGCATACGACGCAATATCACTTCGTTTTCGAGAAAAAACGGTCTAAAGAAAAGAGTCAACATAGTATATAAGTTATTAAGAAGTTATTAAATATCCAACGAAGTGGCGTAGCGCAGCAGCGAAGGTAACGGACTACCGAGGTGACAGCTGATGTTCGATCCCTGCTGTGTGGCTTTTTTTCTATTCTGTAAGCATAAAAATGAAACAGAAAACATTAATAAGTAATAAAACTGCGTTTCTTAAATATATTAGTGTTTGTTAAATATACTATTAATGATTTAAATTGCAAAAAAAACCCTAATCTTATCTATAAAATATATAGTGTATGAGAACATTTTTATATAATAATATTTACAATTTTATATAAAAATAATTGCAATGGAAATAGGAGTAAAAATATATATTTTCGCTGGAGGATTTTTCGATAATAATTCATTATCTCGTAAATAGAATTCGCATATACGAGAGCATTAGTGAATTCACTTTTAAAATCTTCATTTTCAAAAGATCTTTCTTCTAACAATTCTACACCAACTATTTTGCTTGTTGAAGGATTCTCTGACATTGTTATGATACATGTAATTTAAATATGATCACCGAATTGCTCTGTATCACTAGTAAACGCACGCTGCTGCTTGCTTTACTGACGACTGTTCCGATGCTCGAATCATTTCGTCATTCTTAACGATCGTTTAGAATGACACAAAGGAAGTTTTTGGAGGGGGATTGCCAGAAGAGATAAAGACACAACATAATTTCAACACAACACGACTTCAATACAACATAGAGAATTGTAACAGAAATAAATATTTCATATATACGATATAAGATTACGAAAAATTATCTCATACTAGTTTTACTCTTTGCGATCGGCTGATTTCGAAGAGATCGATAAACATGGATATCTGTAAGTTGATCTAAACATTTGAATCTAGCATCGGGAGGATAGTTTTCTATCATTATCGCTAGCCTCATTTGCCGTGCCGCACGCCAGGCGATCATGAATGCCAGCCTGGCGGCATCGACTTCTACGACGACTTACGAATGCCGCCACTGTGGCGGCATCGACCGCAAAGGGTTAGTAGCATTCTTATATATTTGATAACAATATTTTTATTCCTATTTCCATTGCAATTATTATATAAAAATTTTCTCATACACTATATATTTTAGAGATAAGATTTACAGTCTTCTTGCAATTTAAATCATTAATAATATATTTACCAAACACTAATATATTTAAGAAATGCAGTTTTATTATTTATTAATGTTTTCTGTTTCATTTTTATACTTACAGAATAAAAAAAACCATACAGCAGGGATCGAACCTCAGCCGTCACCTCGATAGTCCGTTACCTTCGCTGCTGCGCTACGCCACTTCGTTGGATACCCTTCTTACTAACTTATATACTATGTTGACTCTTTTCTTTAGACCGTTTTTTCTCGAAAACGAAGAGGTATTGCGTCGTATGCTATTACCATGAGTTATTAGTAGTCAAGTACTATTAACTCCGTAAGTTTCGTTCCAAACCGTTTCCCGGTCGATGCGTCCTCCCCTTGTAAGAGGCGAAACAATGGACATGTTAGGTATTATTAACTTTCTCTGAATACGAGCGAATACGAGAGATTGAATACAGGCGTGTTTGAAAGAGAATGCAATTTTAATAGTTGATCGAACAATCCACAAGAAAAATTGTAGTTACGCAACAAGTACACCGTTCTTTTCCATTCTTTTCTTTCGTAAGTGCGAGAAGCGAAAGCAAAAGAACAAAAAAAGTAACTACTGTAAATCATGTGTAAGATGTCATTTATGCCGTTGCGTTCGAAAACATTTCTCTACGCTAATATTCATTAGGCGCGCGAACATTCAAACACAAAAATGAATTTATTAAAATTCCTAACAGGGACCTCCTCTGTTAATCCATCTATTGACGTATTTATGATTTAAAAATCCTCGAACAATGCGACTGAAATATGCTGACGATATGCTTAATAAAAATTGTTTACAACTTAAGAAAGTTACGCTTCTGGACCCACATGTTTGCATGACTTTTTTCATCCTTATAGTAGAATATGCTCTTAAAATTTGGCTACCTATTTTTGAAACACCATGTAAAAATCATTTAAGAATAAATAAAATAAATACAACTGGGAGAAAGGACAAAGCCCTTTTCCTGACATCTTGTATACGTTCATGTATTGACAAAATTTATCAAAATTTAAGTTTGCCAGTATTGGAAAATGAAATCTAGGTTACAGGTGTTTAGGGATATATGTGTTTTTCAATATGTAGGTAAAATTAACACATATTGTACACATGTAAATTAACAATAGCTAACAATCATCATTATGAAGTTCATTTTAATGCTTTTCTCTATATTATTATAACAAAATCACATCTTGAAAATGGTAAAATGTAAAAACAAAACGATAAGTTTATAAATGATAATATTACCGTCAAAACTTGTCTGGAAAAAGTAGTAAGCATTTCCAATAATTGGATACGCTTTCGGGCCTGGTAGAGCGTTTGCTGCTTGCATGAAACGTAATCGTTTACGATAATACGAGATAAGGTGATATGTACCAATACATATCAAGATGACCGAAACGTATGCAAGCATCATGAAAATGTTCAACTGAAATGATAATTATACATAGATACAATATACATACAGACATAACATACAGGATATTAAAAAAAGTCAGTCAAAATGTATCACTCTAGAATAGACAGCACATTATATTGAATAGAAAGTATCTAGTAAACAGAAGTCAGAAAAGCAATACTCTCAGAAATATAAACGATTTTCGATTCTGGAAATGTAAGTTATTTGTATGCTTCTATTGATCATGTATTATATCTGTTTTTACAATTTTGCAAAATTCTTTCATTTCAAAATTACTCTCCGAATAATTAGAATTTATTTCGAATACTTCCTTAATATTAGTTTTAGTTTTCTTACTATTTTCTTTACTTCTTACTATTATGATCGTTAAGTGAAAAAATTATATTATATAACAAAACAAAACATCTATGTTTTGACGTAAATCAAAGTCAGTATCGGCAGATGAACAGAGCTGCTCAAATGAAGTATATTTAACCCATTAAGTCCTGTACGAATGCACTTTTTCATGACTTTTTTCAAGAGCTTTCTTTTTTACAAACCGGCTCTGCAAAAATTCTAGAACAATAATTTCTGAATCACGTAAAATTATTCGAACTTTCATAATCAGTCAAGAGAATTTTTAAAAAATGCTACCTATATTGCACATCTTTCTGAATCATCCAATGGAAAATAACACATCTTAAAATGTTTTTCCACGAGTTGGAGCAATTGTTTGCTACACAACTGGGCATTGTACACTTCTGTAAAGCAAATATTGTCAAAGCTTTTTTATATGTATGTATGTATGCATGTGAGTTTAAGGTTAGGATTATAAAGTTAAACAGTTGTTCAAGGTTAAGTATTGACTAAAAAGTCAACTTAATTATTAATAATTTACTTAATAATAACAAAATTTTAATATTGAATATTGTATGTAATAAAACTTATACAAAAATTCCGCAGAAATATCATCCCTAAAATGTATGCATACAATGTGATACTGTGCGGCACGCGCTCATAGATATACACAGTCTGTCCCAGATCCAATGAGACTGGTCTAGAAAAAATACAAAGCGTTTATTATTTTGATTTTTTATTCTTGTTTATTCAAAATAGTTTCCTTCTGAGTCAATACAGCGCTGGAAACGTTCAACAAATTTTTCGAAACATTTTTTATACTCATCGGCTGGAATGGCCTTTAGTATGGCGGTCGAAGTCTTTTGGATGATGGGGATTCCCGAAGGAATCCGGCAAACATGTCAGCCATTGTAACTGGTGATTAAACGTGGTGTTTTCAATACGAGCCAAAAACAAAACGTCAGAGTGCGGCATGGAAGTCACCAGAAGAAAGCCAAAAGAGAAAAAATTACGCTTTCAGAAGAGCAAAATCAAAACAATGCTGACCGTTTTCTTCGAAGGGAATTGTTCACAGTGAATTCGTCCCAGAAGGTCAGACGGTGAACGCAGAATATTATCTGGGAGTTCTACAACGATTGTGGGCCAGAATTGGACGAGTTCGATCGGAATATCGAGAGCCAGGCAGTTGGTTTTTGTTGCACGATAATGCACCATCGCACAAAGCCATCATGGTACGTGAATTCTTGACCAAAAAAGGCATCATTGTTATCGATCATCCACCGTATTCACCTGATTTGGCTCCGTGCGACTTCTGGCTACTTCCCAAACTGAAATTGGCGATGAAAGGAAATCGTTTCGATACCATCTTAGTCATCCAAAAGACTTCGACCGCCATACTAAAGGCCATTTCAGCCGATGAGTATAAAAAATGTTTCGAAAAATTTGTTGAACGTTTCCAGCGCTGTATTGACTCAGAAGGAGACTATTTTGAATAAACAAGAATAAAAAATAAAAATAATAAACGCTTTGTATTTTTTTAGACTAGTCTCATTGGATCTGGGACAGACTGTATAGAACCATGCCCACGAAATAGAAAGTTTCCTCTACTATTTCCCTGTTACATATGGCGGTCCAAAGAACCAATAAAAAATCGACTAATGATGTCCATACTCTGACTTGAGGTATTGTAGTCTGCACTAAAGAACGCAATAACTGACGTTAAGATGCAATCAAATTTACTGAATGAAAATCGAATTGAGTGCAGCAAGCGGGCGGCACGACATGCGGCAGGCTTGCGCTAAGAAGTCGAAAAGACAAGCACGAAGAATCGCGGCGCCTAACGCTCCGAGAGAACCAAATAATGTGTTGTAAAGTCCGTATCATACTAGCGACTCGCGGCTGCGACTGCGACTGAGATTGCGATTGCGATTTCTTGTTTTCCAATCACACTTGCGATTGGCGATCGCGGCTGCGGTTAAATACTGTTAACATACTTTTACACGTACAATCCCAGAGAAGGGGTTTATATTTTACGAGATCTATTAAATAATAGTCTATCTCCTTATTAAATTGTTTTGACATTTAAAAAAAAATATACATAACACACAAAACAACACAGATATAACCTTATTCTAATGATCACCAACTTCTACATACTATTAAATAAATGTGATTATGACGAGCGCGTCACGTGATTATACGGAGTTCTGTGATTGGTTGCGACTGCGGCTGCGACTCGAAAAATGGACAGCCGTCCAAACGACATTCGTGAGTCGCAGCCGCGAGTCGCTTTCTGATTGGTCGAAGAAGAATCGCAATCGCAATCGCAGCCGCAGCCGCAGTCGCTAGTGTGATACACGCATAACGATCCACCGGCAGCCGTTTTAAAAACGAGACGAAAATCGCGACGACATTCCCATCGAGATACCCGGGCAACTCTCGGCGGACAGGTAAACACATGTATGTGCCGGATTGGCTGTTCCAGCCTCGTTTGATTCACTGCTCACGTGAACCTAGCATGAAACACCGAATAGTGATCGGAAACTAAGCTCGCAGGGCTCACGTGAACAGCTGATGAGAGAATATTCGTGAACTTTAAAAACCTCACAGGTCCAGGCGAACATACCGCCCGCCTTGAAGCGTAGATTCAATGCTCGGTACGTATTTAAAAAGAAAATACCCGACACACATCTCCAGCAGCCAATCAATTAAAATGAATCAAACGGCAAGTGTTGGCTCGCAACGCAGGAAGCCGCCACCCGCCCTGAGCCAACATTGACAGATACAATAATTACGACTTAAAGCAATAGGAACGCATGATGAACATATTATACTCGTTAAGTCGACGGTGAAGTACATTCAATGGGAAGCACGCAAAGCTTCCCGATCGGGCGGACATAACTTAACGCGGCGGTTTTAATGGTGACGATGCGAATTAATTCGTCGGCACCAGGATGAACCTGGCTAACTCGGCCGAGCTCCTACTTGCACGGCGCGCGAGTCGGGTTGCGCAACAAGACGAGACGGCTTATTTGCATCGACGGAGTCACCTTGCGCCACTTAGTGCGCTGTTGGAGAATGTTGATGTAATCACTCGCCCATAAGCGCCAAAATCGTTCGGAAAACTGGCAAACAAGTTGTCACCGAGACAACCGGTTTTCGGGCAACATGAATATCGAGGGTTCAGGAACGAGGAGGAACAGTGAGCGAAGATCCTATTAAAAAATGTCCCGGAGTCAGGTATTGATAGTCATCGAATGAGTCCGATAGAGGTGCGATCGGCCGAGAGTTCAGACAAGCCTCAACCTGGTAAAGAAGAGTGGTAAATTCTTCGATTGACAGCGTGTGATCTCCTATCACACGGCGTAGATCAGAGCTCGGCAAAGTTTCCAACCAAGTTTGGCCGATTCTCGGGAGCTACGTCTCCTCTTACCGCGGCGGATCCAACAACTGACGGTCGTGGCTCGCGATCTCAGGACCGTTAAGATCATAAGGCGCATCTATGCATTGCCTACTAAAGATGCGTTCGGGGAGCGCGTCGATCAGCGCTAACGCGGCATTCAATCCTTGTATATGTAATGAGCGATAAGGATAGAATAACGTGTTAGCGTTGACAGCGCGCTCTTTTAACGCACTTCAAAGGCTGAAAAATAAATGTATCGATACGACTATATGTATAATATTTCGTACAAACTTGTACAAGTATATATATATTTTTTCTTATATTTTTATAATTAGAAGATACATAATAGGTTTCCGCGCCCCCCATAGGTCACCCATGAGATACTATTGCCGACGCGTTTTTTTTTTAATGGTATCCCCTGTAAGCCTATTCCACTAAAGGAGAAGAGAAAAATAGCAACTTTTGATCGGCAATGGGAACTTAAAAAGAAGAAGAAATTAAACCAATTTTCGAATACTGTGCGACTGTACAAGTGATGAAATATCAACATCAAAGTTTGAAGTGCTTGCTAGCATTAAAGAGGATAAAGATGCATCATTTAAAGAAGAACGTTTATCCGTTTTCATTAATTTCATTTTAGAAAAAGAGCTCTCGCATAGATATGTGGAACCGAACAGAAAAATACAAAGACTAAAATTTATTAAAAGAGGATAAGAAGATTGCTTTAAAATCTTAAAAAAATCTATTCCTTTTTCTAGCCGCGCCTTAAGGGGGAATATACAGTCAGAGACGCGAAAAAAGGAGGTTTTTCAAGAATTTTTTTAAACTAAATGACTATACTTATTTATTCAAAAACTTTTCTATAATGTTAAGCTATGTTTGAAGAACATTTTCTAATTTTTTTAGCCAATAATAATAATAATATAAGTTTTAGCGATGACGTAAATGCGAATCGTAAAAAAAAGATGCATTCTCGTGACATCATATCTTGGGCAGGATTATCTGAAACAAAAAAAGCAAAAAGATTTCGTTTGTATAGGACTTTGTCTTCCGGGTGAACGAAGGATTTTGAAAAAATTTGAATTTTGAATTTTTTAGAGTACTTTGAAGTTAAGGTCACGATTTTCGCTTAAAAAATTGACCGTATTATGTTTATAAAACGAGTTCTAATTATTGAAAACAAAAATCCTTCGTTCACCCGGAAGCTTAACATGTATAAAATAAGTGTGCACAATTTGAAAATAATCGGTGCATTAGATTTGAGATATCGTGTCCACCAACTTTGAAAATGTGGTTTTGAGAAAAACGCGTTTGAAGTTTTCAGTATGAATAAAACCTCCATAACAATTTTTTTTCAACTTACACAGAATCGTCTATTCCAGGACCATAAAATAAGTCCTCGACGCCTTCCAGAATGTCCAATTGTTCAGAATTTTTCTGCCTTTGTAGGATTCTTGCCTCCCGTGTAGCGAGTTTCGCTCTGTACTCGGCGGCGTTAATTCGTTTTTCGTCCAATTTTCGGCAATAATCGACAGAATTACGTCCTAATTTCACTCTCATTGAATAAAGAATAGCTAGATGACTCGATGATCCTTCGTTAAAAACACACGCTGAAATTTTAGCAGCAATATCTACTATTGTAGAGCCACTTGGAACAATTTTTGGCGTAATTTTCCAAATCAACTGATTATAGCTCTCATTGTTGTTTTGGTTGAAGCCGCCAATACATCTTTTTAGTAAGGTATCCGAGCTCAAATCTTCGTAAACAGGTCGAATTGCTTGCAATATGACATTACTAAAACTGTCATATGAGTGCACGAACGATTGAAGCTTGTCCATGGCTGCATCACGCTGCCACTCACACCAAGAATCTTCGCCAACTGGACACATATCGTGTTGAGGATTTTCATTTGTAGAAGCGTAGTGGTAAAATGTGACCCAAATACCTTTTTTCATGTCCTCAATATTCTCACAATTACGTCGAATTGCTAGTCCGTAATAAACCGTGAGCTTGTCTATCGTTTTTCCGGTTAATTTGCCTTTTCCTCCCAAAACTTTTCTTTTTATTCTTTTCTTATTTTTCGTTTCAACTTCAACGACAGTGTTATTGACGATATTACGGAGGCGAGCTCCCATTCTTTTTTGGACATGCCCAACACATTCTTTCTTGAAAATTTCAAAATCATTGCCATTATCAACTTTTTGTAATATTCCAGTAAATGTTTTCGAGTCTCCGTCTCCGATATAATAACGATATTTTACACCGTATTTTTCCTCAGAACGGTTAAACATTTCTATTACCGCATCCACTTCCATTTTGCCAGAGGAACCTGTATGATTTGCGGAGCAATTTTCCTTATGTGTTTCGTACCATTCTTTGTATTCATTCTCTTTGACATTCATTTTTTTACTCCAAACTACACACATTTTACAGTAGATACTTTTTACGCATACATCAATAATTTTACTACTATAATAGCCAATTAATGATGCTACACCAAACAATGAATTAAAACTACGCTTTTGCCACGTTCCGTCTCCCGATACAGTTAGTTCATTTGTATAATCTAAATTGTATTTTTTACATGTTTCTTTTTTTCTTCTTCTACAGCATTTGAAAAAATTTTCTCAGCAACGGTATTCACACACTCTTTCATATTTTTAACCATAATATCGTAAGTTGTTTGATTTAAAAATGGTGGCAGGTCCATTAAACCGCAAAACTTTTTACACCCTTCTAATCCTAGTCCTAAAATTCTCATCACGTAAATAAATCTGCGATTTATTTCATAAGTATGGCCGATAAAAGGGCAAGAGGATATGTAATTGGGCGGACACGTGTTACACATTACAGTAATTTTGAATCCGAGGCCACGATCACTGCACGTTTGAAATTGTACATCACCATTGCATATCTTGCACTTTACTACATTCGAAATGACCGAAAAAACTGTAAAAAAATTCAGAATTCTGTATTCTACAGTATTGTCTGTTGGCACATGCATGTCCTCGAGATACTTTATTTTTTTTGCAGATGTACTGAAACTTAATGGGTCAGTTTCGGCCGTTTTTGGATTAAAACTCTGCCTCCGTTTTTTAAACCTGTCTTTTCGAGCTGCACTATTTTGCCGGGTATTTCTGTTCACTTTACGATCTTCCATAGTAGAAAACGGCACGAAAATCTTTTCCACAGGCGCACAACAAGCGTACAGTTCAAAACTGATGCGAGACTAACGGTTCTACCGGTCTTGAAAACAAACGTGTTTATACCTGCGCCCTACGTGCCGCTCGTGCTTCAACGGGTTGGGCGGGCGGGTCTTCTAGACGCTCTAACTCACTCAGTTTTGCTCGGATCAACTTGAAATTTTGACACAACATTCCTGAGATGTTGTACTTTCATATAAAAAGAAAAATAAAAAAAACCATTTTTTCAAATTTCTGACTGTATATTCCCCCTTAAGGAAAATATCAGTTTGAAGACGGCAAAGTTCCTCTTAAAATTCTAATTTCTGTTCCTCAATCTGAGCAGTGACAGGATTTTCAAAAATAATTAAATCATTCCGAAGTATTGCGATATCACTAAAACGCGTTTCGAATTGAGTTATTATTGACTCAAGAATGTCAATGTGTCGTTTGAAATGAATTTTATTATGTTCCTCTGCAAGAATCTGGCAACATGGAAAGAAATGGAAAATATGTTGTATTAAATGATTTTTCAGTATTATTAATTTTCTCTGAAAAGAATCTACACTACTAATCAATTCAGAAATATTTTGATTCGGCTTTTGCAGCTTTAAATTTAATGAATTGAGATGAGTAATTAAGTCATTTATTACTGCGAGTTCAGAAAGTAATTCTAAATTAGTGAAAAATCTTGAAATTCTTTGTATTTTGTAATGGAATATTCTTGCAAGAAAAGGAAGACTTCTTTTTTTATTGCAAAGAACTTCTCTAAACATTTACCAGCACTAAGCCAGCGAACCTCACAAAGGGGTACATCCGTGTAGGCTGCATTATGCTCTGCGAGAAACTGCTGAAACTTTCGATGAGAAAGAAATTTGTTACCGCCCTTAATAAAATTTATTATTTTTGTCACCATTTGCATCCCACTACTTAATTTCACAGCTTTCCCACATAATGCTTCTCGATGAATAATACAATGAATCATAGGAATATTAAAATTCCGCTACTTAATTATTAATTTCGAAATTTAATTATTATCCGCTGCCTAAAAAAAGAGAACATAGTTGTGTGTAACATCGTCGTTGACGAATTGGAAATCCGAAAGCGACAGAGCCAGCGTTGCACACCTACGCAGATCAGCAATATTTTCTTTTGGTTGCTTTCTCTCTCTTTCTCTCTCTCTCTCTCTCTCTCTGCTTTGAAACCAACAGTAAGTTTTACTTTCTTTATTATCTACCCTTCCTATCACCATTTTATTAATTCCCCTTATTTTCCTTTTTTTCCTCTCTTTCCTTTTCTCTCACACATACAGACACACATACATATACAATCATTCGCATAACTATAAATTGTCATATTTTAAACCGCGCCGTTATATCATTTTGTTTGTCATCTGTATTTTAATAAATTTGTTAAATATCTAATTTTCCATTAATTAATTTCAAAATCACCCCACCTTCCAACAGTCGACTCATGGTCCTATCCCCGATAAAGGGATTCGCGTCCCTGACCGAAAAACGGACCGCTCGTCGTACGTCAGCGAGCGAGTAAAGGGACCCGTCGGGTTCCTGACACGTTCCCTAACATGCGTGTACGAACGAGGTTCGCTTTTACCGCGAACAGCAAAGTTACGCTCCTCCTCTAGGACGTAACAGAACCATTACAAAAGAAAAAAAGGACGAGAAAGAAATACAAGTATCTCCTGATATAAAGGTAAATTGATTTGTCAAATTACTTTACTCTTATTCCTTTTTTTATCCTGTTTATTAATTTTTGAATTGTATTTTAAATAGGATGTATCAACATAAATATCTCCACAACGACTTAAATTAAGTGGTCGAGAAGAAAAATTGAAGCGTGAGAATAACATTTTAAGATGTAGATTATACCGAAGAAACTTAAAACTGTCAAATATAAGAGATATGTTGCAGCGTTTAAAAGATGCAGGTAACTCATCAGATGAGTTAGAAGAAATACTCTTCACATAGTTTAGTGGTTTGAAATTGGACTTATTAAACAATGAATTGAAGAATAAGGATAAAAAGTTTGAGAGAACGTACTCAGATAAAATAAAAATGTTTGCATCTACGTTATATTTTTACTCTCCAAAAGCATACAATTTTGTTCGTGAGTACTTAAGTCTACCTCATGAAGTAACATTACGGAGATATGTTGCACATTTTTCTTGCGAAGCACGTTTTCTTGATACCGTTTTTCAGTTTCTAAAAAAAGAAAGTATTGATTGTGACTATTTAAAAAATGTAGCTTTAATAATAGACTCAATATCCATTAAGTCTAGTGTATTAGGTGTACAACTTTGCTTCCGCCGTTTTTTCCCGAATTTCGAGGCTTTATTGTAAAAAACTGGTTATACATTTATGATTCAAAGTATTGTCCATCGCTGGCCACTACTTTTTCCTATCTCTCGGGTAGCGTACGAATCCCGCGTTGAAAAAACTGGTCGTTTTTTGAAGCGATCCACGAATCGATCCAATTTCTTACTTCTTCATAAGACCGGAAGTGCTAATCAACTAGGCCGTGTGCCATTGATCGAAACAAGTGATAGTCAGAGGGAGCAACGTCTAGAGAATACAGCGGGTGGGGTAGGACTTCCCATTTCAACGTTTCCAAGTATGTCTTGACCACTTTCGCATCATGGGGTCGAGCATTGTCATGCTGCAAAATCACTTTATCGTGTCTCTCGTTGTATTGCGGCCGTTGATCTTTCAATGCTCGGCTCAAACGCATTAATTGCGTTCGATAACGATCGCCTGTGATTGTTTCAGTCGGTTTTTAACAGCTTATGATACACTACGCCGAGCTGGTCCCACCAAATACAGAGCATGACCTTGGAGCCGTGAATATTCGGTTTGGTCGTCGACGTGGAAGCATGGCCGGGATATGCCCATGATTTTCTGCGCTTGGGTTATCGTAATGAACCCATTTTTTCGTCCCCAGTCACAATGCGATGCAGAAATTCCTTCCGTCTTTTGCCTTTCAAGCAATTGTTCACAAGCAAACAAACGCCGTTCAACATCTCTCGGGTACGAGTTTCAACTCGTACGGCACCCAATTTCCTTGCTTCTGAATCATTCCCATGTCTTTGAGGCGTTTTGAAATTGCTTGTTGAGTCATTCCCAATGATCGTGCCAATTCTTCTTGACTTTGACAAGAGTCTTCATTAAGTAATACCTTCAATTCTGCATCTTCGAAAACCTTCTCTCTTCCACCGCTATGCCGGTCTTCGACGTGAAAATCACCGTTTTTTGAAGCAATATTATTATAATAGTGCCCTGACTTTTGTTAATTTGATAATTTTGAAATTTCTAAACACTAATAAGTTAACAAAAGTTAGGGCATTATTGTAGCAATATATTTTTGAAACAGAATAAAGTAAAAAAGTCTAATACTATTTTTTCTTTTGACAAATAGTTAGTGAGATATCGTAAGTTAAGTATTGAAAAAATTACCGAGTTTTTCCCTTAAATATTCCAAAAAATATTGGGCAAACAGAAAAATGTTTGAGACAAAAATTGTTCAAATTAATTGGTAGAAAAAGCTGTAATAAAAAGGTGAGATTTCTATTTTAAAAAATTGATGATCAGTGAATATCTCGAAAGTAGCATCACCTGTAAATAAAGCGCTATCGCTGTCTTATATCCCCTTTCAAACCAAATAATTTTTGTTTGAAATATTTTTCTCTAAAATATCGCGTTTATAAAAAAATCGGCTGGTACGATTGGTCTGTGATGCCCTGTATAATATATAAAATATAATAATAAAAATAATATCACACACACCAACATTATACATATGATATTACAAAAAAAAGTTATTTTTCCAGTAATTATTTCACTATATAACATAAGTATCATATATTGTTCTTAGTGAGCTCAGATGTATTATGGCCACTTTACATATGGACGCGTCCGAAAATACTCTGACAATATGAACAATGCTGTTTTCGCTTTCCGGTAATAATTTCCAATATGCAGGCAAGATAATAAAACTTATTGTCTTTTTCACGAAAATAGGTTCTACAGAATTACTGACTTCCGGCTATCTCACACATTATTCCGAGGTAGTGCAAGATCAGCATATGGTAATGCATATGGCGCTTGATTATTAACTTAGTTTCGACTTATATAAATAAGAAAGTTATTAAAAAAGAAATCATTAGTAAAATACGTGATAATTGACGGAAATGAAAATAAAATTTATAAAATATGTGAAATTTTCTCCATCGTTTAGTGATGAATTTTGAAAACTATCTTCAATGAAATTTGCGTTTGTACATCAAGTAAAATTAGTATTAAGTTGATCAGAATTCCAAATTTATTTTCAATCTTTACATTCAAATAAGTTATACTATTCTGTTAATCTCTACATATAATTATAAATGCGTTCTGATTTCCGCGTTGCTGATCATTTACTGATTTTAAATGATTTTAGAACGAGTAATACGCTAGTCTTAGTAGTAGTACTGTCAGTGTTATTAACACTATTTCGGAATATAATCATATTATTATATAATCATTATTATTTTGATTTCTGCGCACATTTCGACTTATCACGTCAAAGACAAACGTGAAATATTATCTGAATATTTAAAGTATTTGTATTTCTTGAATAGCTTGGACAAAGTTATGAGATAGAAAAAGATAGAAACCAATAAATGAAGTAAATATCATTTTGGTAAGTTTTCAAACTATTATTTCTAATGTTACGTCTGAAGTATCAAATAGAAAATCAAATATATAATAATTTTATTTACAATAAGGAGTCATATGATGGCTATATGTATCAGAATAAATAATAATTATTTTTGTGCAAACATCTTAATGTTTCGATCGATGAGGTAATTGGTGAAATATATCTAGGACATTTTAATGCAAACATTTACCTTTTTCAGCAAAATCGCAGTATATAATTTGAAGAACCCTTGAACAGTTGGAACTAATGATGACTGTATAAACAGACGAAAATGAATACGATATACATATGC